TTCACAAAGTGCTTCACAGAATATATTGTAAAGTAAATTGACTGTATATTTGGTAGGTGAAATGCGGCAGCCAATTGTGCACAAGAGTGTCCCACAAACGTGGATTAAGTGACCAAATTTTGTTTAAGGGTCTATTGCAACAATAACAACAAAAACAAAATTACATTTGTATAGCGCCTTTCACGTCGGGAGGATGTCCCAAGGTGCTGGACAGACAGAGTTATGGACCCGAGCTGGGGGTCGGAATGGAAGAGGGTGGAGGGCAGGGTGGGAAGCAGGGAGATCGAAAGTACGGTCAAAGAGGAGGTTCTTGAGGTGGGTCTTGAAGGTGGCGAGGGAGGGGGCGAAATGGAGGGACTGCGAGATGGAGTTCCAGTGGGTGGGTGCGGAGTGGCAGAAGGCCCACTCACCAATAGTGGGGCGAGCAAGGCGGAGCCCACTGAGCGGAGAGAGCGAACAGGGTGGTAGGGGATTAGGGGGTCGGAGAGGTAGGGGGGAGCAAAACCATGGAGGGCTTTGAAGGGGAGGATGAGGATCTTGACCTGTATCTGTGTGATGGGAACCCAGTGGAGTTGGGCGAGGATGGGGGTGATAGAGTCACGGAGCCTAGTCCGGGAGAGGACACGAGCTGCAGATTTCTGGATTATCTGCAGCCTGTGGAGGGAGGAGTTGGGGAGGCCAACAAACAGTGAGTTTGCATAGTTGAGCCTCGATGCAATGAAGGTTTGAGGGTTTTGGCGGCCTGCGGTGTGAGACAGTGTCGGAGTCGAGCGATGTTGTGGAGGTGGGGGAAGGTAGAGCAGGTCATGGCGCAGATGTGGGATAGAAAGGATAGTTACGGGTCAAACAAGATGCCAAGGTTCCGGACTGGCTTAGTAAGGTGGAGTGTGCAACCATGGATGGTGATACTGTCAGTGCCTGAGGTGAGGAGGCGCTGCCAGGAGCCAATCAGGAGAGCCTCAGTCTTGCTGATGTTCAACTGAAGAAACTTAGCTCTCATCCATGACTTGATGTCTAACAGACATTCTGTCAGGACAGCAGTGGTCCTGGAGTCAAAGATGGAGGCAGAGAGGTACAGTTGGGTGTCATCCGCATAGATGTGGAAGTTGACCCCATGTCTGTGGATGATGTCACCAAGAGGGAGCATATAGTTATTGAAGAGGAGGGGACGAAGCACAGAGCCCTGAGGAACACCGCACGAGACAGTGCAGGTGCTAGAGGAGAAGCTGTTTGAGGAGATGTAGTACAGGCGGTGTGAGAGGTATGATCTGAACCAATCAAGGACAGTGCCGTGGAGGTTGAGGTGAGAGAAGAAGTGGTGGATGAGGATAGAGTGGTAAATGATGTCGAAAGCAGCAGAGAGGTCAAGGAGGACGAGGAGGCAGAGGTAGCCCTGGTCACAGATGGACAGAATGTCATTTGTCACTTTGACCAGGGCGGTTTCTGTGCTGTGGGCAGCACGGAAGCTCAATTGGAGGGGATCGTGAAGGGAGTGGCGGGAGGGAAAGGAGCAAAGCTGAGAAACAACAACTCATTCTAGGACCTTGGAGAGGAAAGGAAGATTGGAGATGGGGTGGTAGTTAGGGAGTAGAGAAGGGTACAGGGAGGGTTTTTTAAGAATAGGAATGATGACAGCGGTTTTTAATGGGGTGGGAACAGTACCAGAGGACAGGGAGAGGTTGATAATGTCAGTGAGTAGAGGGGCAAGGAGGTGGACCTGGGAGGTAAGGAGAGGGGTCGGGATGGGGTTGAGGGAGCAGGTGGTGGGTTTCATATGGGTTATGGTAGTGATGAGAGAGGAGCGGGAGAAAAACCCCCAGAGAGCAATCTGCCAATCGATTAACAATCGAGTTCCTATTTAATGTTAGGTAAACAGAAGCATGGGGGGGTAAGGAAACTTGCCTAAAATTTCGCTCTGTCTGGGAATTAAAGCCTAGTGGTTTTACAACAAGCACAGCACTCCACATTGCACATGCGTGAAGGGCCCGTGGCCACAGTCACACAATAGCTTGGTTGGGCAAACTAATCTGTCAAAAGGTCACTGGGAACATTAAAGCCACAGATTAATGGATTGTTTCTATTTCCTAGGGACATTCTGCTTATGATGATGACAAAATTCCTCGGCAGATTCATCAGTTCAAAACAATTCCAACAACTTCTTTTAAGGTCCGTAATATGCTTGGAGGAGTTTTCTTTTGTCGGGCAAACATGTTTTACAATATTCTTAAAGAAATAATGTTTTGAATTCAGCTAATGCTTTGTGAAAGATAAGACCGTGAACGTTACGATAGAAAGAGATAAGACAACAATAACAACAACAAGAAGATTACATTTGTATTGCGCCTTTCACGTCGGTTGGAAGTCCCAAGACATTAGACTTGCTGGAAAGACCTTGTCTTTCACAAAGAATTTGCTGAATTGAAATATTTTCAGACTTTGGATCTGAAAAGACCATCTGGGCCAGTCCCAAAGTAAACATAAAAATAATCGCGACTCTACATTGAAAAATGGAATCATTCAAAAAGGAATTGGATAAAAACCTGTTTAGCAGTAAACAATGGAGAAAGATCTAGACATTATATTAATAACAGGTAATAATAATACTAATCCTTGTATTTGGTACAGCGCCTTATCACATAAGAATCAAATTGGACAATACAGGTTGCCACAGGTACTGCCCTGGAGTGTCAACCTGGACCAGAAGTATGTGTCAACATGGGGCTTAAACCCACGATGCTTCTGACCCAGAGACAAGAGTGCTAGCAGCTGAGCCAAACTGACATTGATTGTTACATTGATAAGTTTAAATTACACAATAAAACAAGCTGACATTTATTGTTATGTTAACAGGTTTAAATTACATGATAAGATTACCATTAAATATGAGGAGTTTTATGCTGCTATCAGAGACCCAATCACACCTGGAGCTCCAATGTGGTTCGATCCCATCCATCGACGCAGTGATAGAATGCTGATGAGTGCATCTCAGGTTCATTCGCAGCTCAAGGAAAGGGCAAGGCAGAGGTAAGTATTAGCCGGTGACAATTACTTATCAGTTGTTCCATTGAACTAACAAAATAGTACAAAAAACACCTTCCGATTACATTTTGTATTTTGTAAATTGAAATATAAGATTGAATCCTCACTTCATTATCTATTGTGGAGAAACATGTTCTTGCAAGTACATTGGCCAGCTTTATAAGTATGCAAAGATATGGGTTCAATGCAGTGTAAAATAGTACAATGAAATTAAGACCTTGATAAAACTATCATAGGCTATAAGGTACAGGTTTCAGGACTACCTTATCAGCATTACTGTTTTAAGGGGACCTTTGTGGTTCTGAAAGCTGTTGGGTACAGATTAGAACCCAACTTGTACTTAATAACATTTGCATGGTGAAAGGACAGGGAATTGGGATTAAAAGATCTGCCAGAATATAATAACTGGGCTCACTGGGCTGAATGGCCTCCTCCTGTTCCTGTTTTCCTATGTTACTATATTGTGGTCTACTTTGTGATATTCACTAAATGGATTCATTGCATTAATGTTTTGCTCACAATCTTTTTTTCAATGTTGATTTGCAATATATTGACCTTAAATCTCACTGCATGCAAACTTCGCAAATTGAATCAGTTGCTAGTCTGAAGCTGTAATTAATGCAATCAATCCAGTTTGCAAATTAGACCCCAGTGTGCATCTGCATAAGTTCATTTTGCTGACACTGTTACATTCAGTATTTTCCTATGATACCAATTCCAATGCTATTGTTAGATTTCCAGATCTGACTCAAATTCTGCCTCAGAAAAACCCTGAAGGAACTGTGAGGTTGCTGGAACCTGAATTCAGAAGTTTGTTAAATCAACTGGGTTACCAGATGGAAGATGAGGAGTTCAAAAAGTTATGCAAAAGGTGGTTCAGATAATAGCGACCATTTACTAAATAAAAACTCTGAGTAAGTGAGAACTTACTCTGAGTATCTGTGACTTACTTAGAATAACTTAGAACTCCCTACCTCCTCCCCACACATGCTGTGAACAAGCTAAAACTCTGTTGTCTGTATTCTCTCCAGCACCAAGCCCTTTGAGCCTGTTATCCCTATCCACATTCGGCTCCACTGGCTTTCCATCCCCCAGAGGAGAGAGTTCAAAATCTTCATCCTAGCCTTCAAGCCCTTTTTCTTCCCTACCTCTGTGACCTGCTAACTCCTCTGCTGTCTCAAGACCTTCATCTTCATCTTTGACTGAACCTTCAGCCACCCTCCTATCCCTAGCCTACCCTCCACCTCTTCTGATCCCAACCCCCAGCTCGGGTCCAAATCCCTGACTTTCCAGCACCTTGGGACGTCCTCCCAATGTGAAAGACACTATACAAATGTAATTTGTTGATGATGTTTTATGGTCGATCCCCTGCACTGGCGATATGTTTTCAGCCATTCTTCCCCTGCTCTCTGACCTCCATCCTCCCTCCACCTTGTCCACTCCCTCCCTGCACTAAGATTTTTCTCTTCGACCATACTCTTTGGGCCATCGTCCCTTCCCCCAATTCTCCTCAAATGCTCAGTCTTTGGCAAAAGCTGTGAAACATCCTCCCAATTTGAAAGACATTATTGAGAAATCCCTTGGGCTCTTCAACCTTAAAGATGCTCTTTGGTCTTGTTTTCAAAGCGAGTTCATTTCTATAATACTGGGGGTCATCCTCTTTGATCTCTTCTGGATTCACATATGTTAGGATTGAAAATTAATACTAGTGAGTATATTCCAAGGGGTGAGGAGGCGAGTTAATTTAAGCTGGCTCCAAGGTAATGACTTGACAACATACCAGAGCAAAGCAGATTTTTCTCTCATATTAGTGACTTTAAGAGAGTCAGAGTCTGACTCTGAACTTGCAATCATTTCCAAGGTATTTCACTCATTCCTGCATCTTGTTATTGCCTTGAAACAGGTATGACACTGACGGTCTTGGTTTTATAAAAGGAGATGTACTGATGAGAAAACTCGGAATGGCAAACAGTGCAAATAGTGACAGAAAGTCACGGGAGCAAATGAGTTTGAAGGATTCAGCAAGTATGTGCCAATTTTACCTTCCAAAGAAATACTATAATTCCATTAAACTAAAAAATAAATTGAATGTTATTCATTTATAATGTGCATTTTCATATGAAGAGTATATGAAGAGGTCCAGTGGTACTGTGATTTGAGGATTTTTGGAGTGACAAGTGACCATTTGTGCTATTAATAACTTTGGTACGGCTTATTCTCCTTTCTTCATCAGGTGTAAATGGACCACCATACAAGCATTTTAATATGGACTGATACTGCCAATGCAGGCAACAACAACTGCATTTTTGTAGTGCTCTTTATGTGGGTAGCGTCTCAGAGTGCTCAACAGTGGCAGAACTTGATACCGAGCTGGACAAAGGGGAGGTGATTGTTGACATGTAACTTGCTTCCAGTTAACGCAGATTCATAGGACACAGATGCTATTAGTGAAGTCATTCATTAACAGTGGGGGCATTACTGAGTTGCCTGTCCTTCAAACCTATGAAAATGATTTTATAGTTTCCCTCAAACTGAGCTTTCTGTGAATTTCTTATAAAGTGCATTGCTCTCCCCAGGGCCTTCGAGGATCCTGAGCAAAGCAGAGCATGAAAGGGGAACTTCTCTCAATATTGAAAAATGGCTGAAAAATAAATTCAGGGAAGGATATAAACTCATGAAAGAAGAGTTTGAAAAGTACGACTTGGAGCAAACAGGCAAAGTAATTACGTTTGTCATATTCTTCTTAGCTCCCTTATTCAAGAAGACTAAAAGCCCACTATTGGCAAGCAAATCTTCAGGCACACTTTGCCCTCCCTCTGAAATCTCTCTCACATCTCCCTTCTACTTTTTCTGCTTTCAAATCCCACCTGAAGACCTATTTCTTTGATTGTACTTTCCCTCCACCCCCTGAGCTTCCTCCTAACTTGGGCTCCTGCTCAGTCTTTGTAAAGTACTTGAGAACATTCTTCCAAAGTGAAAGATACAATTTAATTGTAAACTGATATCGTTGTTGTAATTGTATTACTGCATTCAATGCATTTTTGATATCTTATGCACTTTTTTATTAATGAGGAGACCATATGTGAAGTATGAAATATTGCAGAGTGTTACGTTGAAAGATATTTTAACGTTAACGATATTTTAACATTCTCTTTGACCGAGCCTTCAGCTCCCCTCTCGACTCTCTTCCCCCTCCTCGCTCGCTCCCTTCCCTCCCCTTACCCTGACCATTTCCCCCTCCTCGCTCCCTCCCTTCCCTCACCCCCCTGACCATTTCCCCCCTGCTCGGGTCATGACCCAACTGTGCAGCGCCTTGGGACGTCCTCCTGACGTGAAAGGCGCTTTATAAATGGAATCTTGTTGTTGTTGTTGTTATTGTTAGCAAGCATTGTAAAAGCACTTCCAGAAATCGAATTGAACTTTGCCTCAATCAAATCTCTTGCATTGAATTTTATTATATTTAAAGTTTTTTAAAAAAAATTCTGGCATATTTTTGTTGTAAATGGCCAATTGCTTTTTGCTGCCTTGAATTGGTAGGTGATGCCTCAAGACTTCCTATCTGTGCTGGAGAAATTTGACCTGCACCTAAAATCTGAGCATTTCAACCTTTTCTTAGCACGGTGCAATCTTCAGAATAGCAAATGTGGCATTGAATACACCAATTTCCTCAAAATCTTCCAGGACCGAAGTGAGAATGGGATGCCACATAAAATTATATCCAATCCTAAACACAGGTTAGTGAATTCCCTTTCTCAGCAATGTGGGATATGTTTTACATGATCCCAGTAGAGTTATGCTGCAGTCTTTGTTTCACTGCCCCATAATGTGTAAATATTTTCCAGGTTCTTACTTAACAATATATGTTCCCTTCGAAACTGCTCAGTTAGTGTTGAATCAGTTCATTGTGGTTTTGTTTCTCATTACTTTCTCCTTGTTGGAGACTTATTATAGCATGGACAATTGGGATCTTTTAGCCCAAACCACAGAATTCCTCGTGAACCTCTGCTGATGCTGCATTATAGCCTGCGACTGAGGAAGGCAAGAGCAGTTCTGAATGACTATCCCTCTGGGATTCTTTCTATTTAGGGAGTGCTTGAGTTCTGTTTTTGTGCCACTGTGTTGCATAGAAATTGCATTATTTTATTTTAACAAAACCCCCCAAACTTGGGATAGTCATTCATTTACTATTTATAGCTCTTCCAATGAAACTGTCTTCACTTTTAATACTAAACACAAACCTCGACAGTCAATTGGATGTATTGGAGTCTTTCCTGCCTGTAGGTCTATTCATTTTTTTCTCCCCTCCTGTTTTCCTGATACTCTAGGTATATGTTATTGCTGCACGATCGTTGAATGTACCATTGTTTTTTTTAAATATGTTTTTCTTTTTAAGATTCAACCAAGAAGGAAGTCCCAGTTTATGCACTACAGTGACTGCAATTGAAGCAAAGTTGACAAGGCTGTTTCAATCAGATTTCCTTTCACTTTTAGCCACATTTCAGTAAGTACTAAAGTGATTTAAGTCCTTTTAGAAAACAAATTAGGTTTTAACCTTTTCAACAACATAAATCTATTTACAAATAGAAATTTGTCAATTTCCCCTCCCCCAGAAACTCCATCACAGTGCTTGGCCCTGAACCCGCCCTCTGGTGCATATTAGATTTGCGGTACCCGGATGGAATGAGGAGCCTGTTAAATGGCATTACAGAGTTGGTTTATGGGATACTATCTTAATGTAATAAAAACAATCAAAGTGAAGCCAATATCTAGCAAATATAAGTTGGGAGCCAGTGCTCCTCTGTAACCAATGTGGGATCCTGTAGCTCAGAGTTTAAAGCATTCACCTCACAAGCGAGACTTGGGTTTGATTCCCAGCAGGGCGCAATGTTGGGCAAGTTTCCTCACTCCACATTCCTCTGTTTACCTAGCAGTAAGCAGGACCCAGTTGTTAGTCAATTGATGGATTATTTTTCCGGAGGTAATATTTCCTTCCAAAAAATAATATTAAATTGGTCACTCAATTCATGACTGTTTGTTGGACAATGCTGTGCGCAATTGGGTGCTGCGTTTTGCCACAAAACATATGGTCAATTCACTTTACAGTATATTCTGTGATAAGGTGTTATATCAAATGCAAGGATTATTATATGATTATCATTATATGGTGCTCCTTATGATAGCCTGGCCCAGATCAAGAATTCACTCGGTGATGAATCTTTCACATAAACTAATAAACGTTACTCTTAATAAACATGAACTTCGGTTTATTTTCTCCTACATTATGATTTTAAATGAGGACAGTAGAAAACCTCTTTAACAATCTTCCTGACTGTTATTTCTTTATAAATTGCAGTAAAATTGACAAACTGAATAGAGATGTCATCAGCCAACAGGAATTTCGAGCTGCCATTGAGAGCAGGTAGGAAGTGATTTTACAACATGTCTTTAATGGGTGGAGCAAGGCTGGATTAACAATAAACCAGGTAAACCATGGCTTAGGGCCCCAAGGTTTGAGGTCCCCTGGATATGATTGACATCCCGCTGCACCTCTCTTCTGGTCGGTCTCCGCGATGCCTCATATGAGCAATGAAAGAGAGGGAGACAGGATTCATACCTCTGCTCTGCCTCTCTTTCCATCACTCTCCACATAGCCTCGTGTCTCATACAACCTCGTGAGAGACAGCGTGAAGAGCAGCTGGTAGAGAGGCGGACCAGGAGGTAAGCAATAAACCTCATAAGGAATAGGTTACGAAACAAAATGAAATAATGGATGGGTTACAAAGTAAAATAATCAGAGCAGGACTGCATTGAAAGTGCCTGGATAAAACAGGAGATTCATGTACTTCAAAGAGTAAAGTTTCAGTCAATGTTCTTTATGTACATAGTTGAAAGGTTCCTCTATACAATCCATAAATGATGCGTAAGTCTGATCTTAAAACCTACTGTTTTGGGGCACATCCGTAAGTACTTACTCAGCACTAAAGTTTTTTTGTTCTAAATTAATAATAATCCTTGCATTTGCAAAAATGTAGCACAAGTCAATCACATCATATACTTTGGTAACTACCTTGGATAGAATAAATAATAATAATAAATATAATACTTATGTTTGATATATCGCCTGATCACGTCATTGAGATGTCTCAAAGCGCTTCACAGAATATACTCTAAAGTGTATATTTTTGTGGGGAATTGTAGCGCAGAATGGTGTTTTTCACCTTTGTACTAAAAAACATAAATTGCATGCATCTGTACATTAGTACAACTTGCATTGTTATCTCAATGTTCCCACTAGGTGGCAGATTAGCACTTTCTTACTTACAAAGCGACATAAGGGATTCATGGTTCTGAGAGGCAGCCAAACTCTCTTAAAGAATTCAGTTTGAAAGGTAGATGAGGATACCGACATATCAGTACATTCTCGTGAACTGTCTGCCTGCTCAGAGCCCTAGAGCAGCCTTCCACTAAAAGACTCACCCTAGAGAGTTAATGACCGACCAAAATCTGTATGTGATAAGAAGATGGTCAATATTTTGTATTCAAAGTCATCTGTGATTAACCACTTGACTGTTCAGCCTATTTACAAAATATTAGTAATATTAATTATTGCATTTGATATAGCACCTTATCATGACATTGAGACGTCTCAAAGCACTTCACAAAATATACTGTAAAGTGAATTGACTGTATATTTTGAGGGCAAAACATGGTAGCCAATTGTGCACAGCAATGTCCCACAAACTGTTGTGTATTGAGTGATCAAATTTTTTGGTTATTACTCTGGGAAAGCGATCCCGCAATCGGCTAACAAACGGGTTCCTACTTATTGCTAGGTAAACTGGAATGTGGAGTAAGGAAACTTGCCTTAGGTTAAAATATTCGTATATTTATTTGATTGTACTCCCCAACTCCTTGTGTTTATTGTTTGCATCACATGGCTTCCTTGTTTAAACGTGTGAGCAGCCAGCCTGCACTCAAGCCTCTGCCAATACCACTCGATAAGCAGCCGGAAGCAGATGCCTGAGGGCATCCTGGAAATGCTCCACCTCTACTACTGGCTCTCTCTGTAAGGAGAACTGCATTCAATGCTTCCTTACAACAGTCCAGCTAGGACTAATGACTCAAATTTGCACGCCTGTGTTTTGTTACATCATAGTGCAGGGAATTGGTGCTCAGGGGAAGAATTTGACCCAATTCTATGTCAGTAAAGAAGAATAGCACCCTCTGCCTCCCCACATCCATTTAAAGCATTTATTTTAGGTATAATATGGAATATAAAGTAAAGGAATATGGAAATCGAGCCAGCCCTTGGTGGTAATGTCATTAGTCTGGTTTCTGAGCTGGTGGGTCCGTAGAATTCCAGGGCACCGCTGATGACAGCACAGCCATCCTGGCTCATCAGCAGGAACCTAGAAAGGCAGACCAGTCACTGGGGGCAGGGAATCCTCCCACACAGCTCCTGCTAACCCTGCAAGCCAAAGGTTTTGTTTGGCAAGCCCTTGCTAGACAAACAGCGCTAAAGCTTGCCAAACAAACCTCACCCCAATCTCTCTCATAAACCTCTCAAGCTACACTTTCCAAAAGCTACAACTGATTATGAACTCTGCAGCCAGTTTCTCTGCCGCACAAGGCTCCACACATCTACTGACTTCCAGTCTTTTATCTTAATTAAGTCTCTGTAACAACAACTTGCATTTGTATATTGTCCTTCATGTAGGGTAATATCTTGGAGCACTTTATAAGAATGGAGTTGGACACTGAGCAACGGAGAGTGCAGACACATTTGTAAATCTCTGGGTTTTGTTGTATCTTTCTGTGTCATTTGGTAGAACTTAATGTTTTAATGTTGATCTCCCTTTCTTACCTAAGTACACAACCTAGTCTATCAGTTTAAAAGTACAGTTATTTCCAGGCTTGTTCAATTTAAAACACTAATGAAATTTTGGCCTGGAATTTGTCTTAACATTTGTAGAATTAATGATGGAGAGTAAAATAAGGCAACATGTCTTAAAATCCTAGTGAAGTACCATTGGCCTTTTTGTGGAGTAAACATTTTTCACATCATCAATAACCAAAAATTTAGTTGGAACCTATAATAATAACACACATTTGATATAGTACCTTATCACATTATTAAGACGTCTCACAGGGCTTCACAGAATGTTGACTGTGTATTTTGCGGGCAAAATTTATTAATGGATGAAGTTCAGACCACTGTTATTTTCCTCTTTGAATTCCATAATTTTAGACTGTTTTAAAACCACGGCTGATTTCTGACTGATACATATGGGCATAAGCATGCTACTGGGAACTGTAGAAAAAACCAAAATGGAGTTTTGCACAGCAGGAAAGATGGAGAACCTATATCTTTAAGTAAAACATTTGGCAATTTTTGTAGGCATTCACCTACAAAATACACTGCAATAAGTTCACAGTATATCCTGTGAAGCTCTGTGAGTGGGTCTCCAACAAGAAAGATGCTATATCAAATATAATGATTATTTATGATTATTATTAATTTCTGCCTTCAGCAATAAATATCTGCCTTAGATAAAGGTTAGTTCTGCGTGCAGTTGGTATCGTGCCTCATATCAGATCTTTGTCTGCCTAGACATCTCTTGGCACAAAGTGTTACATCCCACACTTACATTACTGGCCCTGAGAAGAGATATGCCTGATGGAGCAACACCTTAGTTACTGTTAATAAGAAATGTACTGCACTCAGAAAACTAGAACTTATTAAGCCATCGGACAGTGGGTCATATTTTTTAGTAAACCTTGAAAATATAGGTGGCAATTTTTGTTGGCTAATTTCTATGTCGAGATTCCAGTCACCGCTCCTTAACCTGACATAATGTTGGACTTGTGGAACCACTTTGAATGTACCCCACTATCTCTTTGATGATCAACGAACAGGGGATATTGACTTTCCTCTGGGATCTCCCTAAACTTTTGCTGATCTGGCAAATGTTGTTTGAAATTATTATTTTCCCCTCAATTGCTCCAGTAGCATTGCCTCATGCTCAAACAATGGCACTTTTCCCAACTCTCATGGGCAGATGGTCGCTTCCAACAATAGCACTCAAAATTGGCAGCCTTCGGCAATGTGAGAGGGGAGCAGCAGGCTGCAGGTGGAATGGCTCCAAGCAGCATTGAGGAAGCGATGGTGTACAGTACATCACAGTCTTTTTAGCAAAGTCTTGAACAAATCAAAGTTTTGAATAATCTGTTCACTAAAACCTAAAACATATCAATAATAAAATTACCTAAAGTGACTTCCCACCGTACAGGCATGTGAGGCACAATGGTTTTAATGGGTTCATTTACTCTTTATCGTTAATTGGCAAACAATTCACCCGCAAGTCACACCACTTTACAGTGTATCCTGAACCCATTAAAACCATTGTACTCCAAATGCCTACGCTACACAAGACATACTCAATTCCATAGATGTTAAACAAATAAACAGAGGCATAAACATGATTCAATAAATGGCCAGAATCATTTTAGGAAATGAAATAATGCTAGGTTAGGACAATCACTCTCACTCTTAACTATTAAATTGAAGTTTCTGAGCTGAGCAGGTCCATAGGACTCCAGGGTATTGCTGGTCAGACCAGGCTGTTAGAAAAGCATTTTGGGATGTCTCGACAATGTGATAAGATGCTATATCAAATGCAAGGATTATTAATATTGTTATATAAAAAAATGTGCAAAAAATCTTTCAAATTTTATTTCCATTTTAAGAGAAATAGACTTCAAAATATATTTATACTTGTCAGGTCTATCTAGTGTTAATATTTTTCTTTCTGTATTTCCTAGTAATGGAATTGGATGAAACATTCAGTCTTTAAGAGATCTTTCAATATGGTATTCTTAAGTGCAATAAATATTTATTGCCGCCCCCTGTCCCCCAATGTGTGTATTGTTTTTCAAAGAATTGTCTACTATTCAAATTCAAGATCCTCATCCTCACCTACAAGGCCATTCACGGCCTCGCTCCCTCCTACCTCTCTGACCTACTATCCCCCTACCTACCTGCCCATACCCTCTGTTCCTCTGGCTCCGGTCTGCTCCACATCACCTGCCCCAACCACCCTACCATCGGTGGCCGGGCCTTCAGTCTCTCAGCCCCTAGGCTCTGGAACTCTATCCCCCAGTGCCTTTGCCTTGCCTCCTCCCTTTCCTCCTTCAAGGCCGGTCTCAAGAACTTTCTCTTTCAGCCTTCGGCTCCCCTCTCAACTCTCTACCCCCTCCTCGCTCCCTCCCTTCCCTCCCCTCACCCTGACCATTTCCCCCCTGCTCGGGTCCTGACCCAACTGTCCAGCGCCTTGGGACGTCCTCCCGACGTGAAAGGCGCTCTACAAATGGAATCTTGTTGTTGTTGTTGTTGTATTCAGAGCTACTGGTTGGAAGATTAACAAGGCTGGTAGGGTTTAGGTAAACACAGCATAAAGGAGACATGGTCAAATAACTTGTCTTCTGAAACTACCAGTAAATGGCCACATTCAAATTCGATGCAATTTACAAGGTGGAGACAATCACTCATTACTCCAGCCTTCCGTGTATCTTAACTACATGATGTGAGCTTGTTTAACTACCTAACTACCCTGTCAGGGGGCTCCTCACTGTCGGGCTATGCCTGTGCCACTTCCTAGTTGCTGGACTGTTCTAAGAATCCATGCATTTTGATGGAATCATGAAATCTCTTTCTTTTCAATTGTTTGAAGACACAGTTTCTTCAAGTTCTCTGCTCTCAAACACCTACTTTTTATGTTTTCTCCCTTAGTCCTCCTTTGGCTTTTAACTGTCTTGGTCTCACTTTCCCTTCTGATTCAAAGGGATTTCTCAAATCTCCTACATTGTTGACTTCAGGAAGTTCCAATTCCTCTTCCATTCCAATCATTTACTTTCCTCTCAGCAGTGTTTATCCAGAAGCCACAAGTCTGTCTGTGACTTAATAATGTTTCCAAACACGGCTGACTGGGAGCCTGAGCTGTGTTTGGGAGAGCAGAGGAGGGTGGGGGAAGGTGTGGATGTTCGGACTATAATGAGGACAGGATTGGAATCAGTTGTGATTGTGATCCCCCCACCTATTTACGGTAACATATCCTATAAGTGCTGACTGTCTAGGTTCACACATGATGAATTGTCACTTGATTGAGCTACTTTGTGATCCCCATTTTTTGACCCGATTGTGACTGCAGACTTGGCTTTTTCTATCCCTCACATTCCAGTTATGTCTCATTTGTGTCTGTCAAGATTTCATTATAGAGTACAGTACAACTTATATTTATATAGCATCTTTTACATTGGGTGGATGATTCAAAACACTTTACTCTGCTGGCTGGGTACCCAAGTTGGTGCCTAGAGGGTGAGGAAGGAAAAATGACTGAACGCATGGTCAAAGAGATATATCTTCAGGTGAGCTTTGAATGTGGGGATGGAGGGCAAGTCAGACTTTGGGATGGAGTTCCAGAGAGTGGGAGCAGAATGGCTGAAAGTGCCATTTTATAGGAGAGCCAGCCTGATATTCCAAATTATTCATCTAGTACAAAAGTTAAAGATCACTGTAAAGCGAGTCACCTGTATTTTACTTGATTCTTTTGATGTGCATTCCTTGGAACTTTCATTATCTTTCTTACCTCATAACTGTCTATGGTCTCAAATCCACTAATCTATATGTTTCCTTCTTCAGTCTGGTACACCAAATTTTCTGCCCACAATGAGATCAACCACAAATTCTATGACAAGTTTCCTAAACACCGCTGTTCTATCCTTGGGTACTGTGTGTTCCTCACCTTACTGTAGCTTCAACTTGATTTCAACTCCCTTCCATTCTCAGTCTCTCCCTTCTATACTTACCTTCCTATCACCCTATCACCCCCATCCTCACCCGACTCCACTGGCTTTCCCATCACACAGAGGATACAATTCAAGATCCTGGTCCTCACCTTCAAAACCCTCCATGGCCTTGCTCTCCCCTACCTTTGCAACCTCCCAACCCCCTACCAACCTGCGCACTCCCTCTGCTCAGAGGGCTCCGGCCTGCTACATGTCCCCTGCCTCACTCTCCCCACCATTGGTGGGTGGGCCTTCGGCCACTCTGCCCCCACCCTCTGGAATTCCATCCGCAATCCCTCCTCCTCACCCCTTCCCTTGCATCCTTCAAGAACCATCTCAAGATCCTCCTCTTCGCCCGTGCCTTCGATCCCCCTCCTTTCTCCCTTCCCTCCAACCTCCCCAATCCCAACCCCCATCTCGGATACGAAACACTGATTGTCCAGCACCTTGGGATGCCCAATGTGAAAGGCGCTATACAAATGTAATTTTGTTGTTGTTTATACTATGATCTAAGCAAGCTCAATGCAGTGTTTACGAGCCTATATTCATCTTGGACACTCTTTCCCATGCTGGGTTGAAAATTGACTTTAAAAACTTGATACATGAGTTGGCTCCTCAATCTCTTATCTTTTTCTCCTGGTATCTCTTATTGGCCTTCTGTTGTCTTACTCACCCTTTGTCTTTCTTATACATTGTTTAACTACTGAATGCGCATCTAATTCTGGTTGATATTACTTTCATATCAGATAGAGCACATTGATGATCTGTTCAGCATGTCACAATCTGTTAATTGCACATTAGGTGCTTCTGCAAGTATAACCAATGGATGTAATAGTTTCATTTCTTCCTAAAGTCATTGTTTTCTTGATCATGTCTAACCTAACCTATATAAAAGGGTCTCTTCCATCCACTCATTCCATTGTTGATGAAAGTTCACACTTGAAATTTTAGACTTCTTTTCTTTCTCTTCAACAGAGTAGACCTAATGGGCCAAATATTCTGTTTTTCAGCTGTAACATTCTATGATTCCTTCAGTTGCTAATTTTCGTACTGTCATTTCCAACCGTTTACTGGTTTCCTTTTATTTCAGATTTTTAGCATTTCTCATTTTACAGCTAAGTTTATCCATTATTAAGGGAGTTCTTCATTCATGGAATGAAAGCAAACGTATACTAGTTTCTCAGTAAATGTATCTGTAAAAAAATTACACAATTATAAAGGCACATTTTAAAGTGAAAACTGGTACCGATCAAAGTGGTTTGAAATTCTATCTACGAGGGGAAACTGAAATGTAGTAATTAGTAATTAGTAATTGGACAGAATTTTGAGGTTTTGATCTGCTTAATTAAAAACTGTTCATAAATTTAGTGGCGCTATATTTTTGTTCATGGTGTTATTCTTGATGGTAGTTTTCTTTCTTCCAATCTGTGGTTGCAGTCACAATATTTTGCTGTGTTAAAATTCTTGTGAACTTACCCCATATTTGAACATATGGGGTAAAAATCTCCCTTCTCCATATTATTGAATTGCTCTTCAAATAGCCTCTGCTACTTTCCCAAGTTTTAACATGCTGACAATATCCTTTTTGGATGCCTTTTCATAGTTCACTTGTTTAAGTTAGTAAGAGTGTTTAAACTGCAATGAATAACTTCATAAGCCACAAACCATTCTGATTTGTTTGGCTCTAAAGCATTGGATCTCCAGCCATCAGATGTGCTATACTTACGGATGGATTCCTTGGTAGAATTTCTTTCTTTTTGAGATCTGGAGCCATCAAAACCCTGATTAACCTCTGATATTCATGTGGTGCTCTTGATCTTGAAGACAGATTCTGCAACAAAAAGTTAACGTCTGCCATATGCCGAGGGTTTTGTGGGTAGTGCTGACCTGAAAGTGAACTTGCTCTTTGACTGCTGCTTTTTTCTCTCTTTTTCTGCAGGTTTGGTGTGGAGATTACCGATGAAGAGTTTGAGCTGCTCATTGACAGAATCCCTCTTGATGAAGACGGAAATGTCCGGTATCCCCAATTCATGGCTATATTTGACTCTAGGTATGACTTATTTCTAATTGCTTTTCCTTTCTTGGGGAATCCCTTACAAACACAGAGTAAACGTTTATATATGCCCTGCATTTAAATACCTCCTGTTCTTTAATTTGACACATCTGAAATCTGAGGAATTAATGGTGCCTCCTCTTCATCCTTTCTATGTATAGATATCAGTTGTCCCCTTAGTTTTACAATTTGATGGGATATTTTAGTCTACTGTACATGAAGAATTAAATCAGTCAATCTTTGTGCTTTTAATAAGCAATTTGATTCTAATCATTCCTAAAGAATAATATTTTGCTATTATTTTTACAATTGCGTGACCAATTATTTTATTTCATCCCATTCAAGAATCCTTGAATTCTGATGTGGATGGTGACAAGTTAACATGTTAACTGAAGTTATGTGAAGTTAATTATACTCATGGCACTATTGCAATATTATTATTCATATCCACCCACACAATTATGATGAATGTTATTCGTGCCTTTAAAATGTCACCAGAAACAGGTGTTTTAGAAAAAAAAACATGATTGAAGCGTAATTGAAGGAACACATCATTTAAATTAAATTGAACCACAGACATTACATTTAGTGCAGCACTTTTAAATTGTGCAAATGCTTGTGACAAGACAATTATGTAAGCTGACTGTTAACATTTTACTGCATTAATCCTCACAAATCAGAACAACAATTGTATCGACAATGTCAAATTTAGACCGAATAATTGTTTTTCTTCGCTGATTAAATCTAAGACATTTTCTTGCATGGAAACATATATGTGCAAGCTTCAATATATATATATATATTTATATAGACATACACTTTGAAATCTGCACATTCAATCTTCTAAAATATCATGTTTCGCTTTACTGGGACTATAGATTGTTAACTTCAGGCGAGAATACGATCTATATACAACATGAGCAGTACATAAATGTAAAATCCTTCTTCCAGAATTAAATCATCGCCCAGAAGCCTTAGAATGTGCCTTTGTGTGGTCTTTTTTTTTAATATGTAAAAGCATCCAGTTAAAGACCTGGCACCAAACCCACACTGAGAGGATATCCAAACGTGTGTGGGAAAACCGCAAGGAGAAATTCCGAAGCGATTGAGAGTCTGTGCGCTGTTTTCTTTCGGGTTTTTTTAAATATTAAATAAGGAGGAAAATGTGACTTAGAAAGGTTGGAAAAAGTTAGTAACTGGACAGGTTTGGGAGTTAACAATAGCACAGTGTTGTCGTGGGCTGCTTCCAGGACTTAGATATTCTTCCCATGTCAGGATAATCACTACTGGGAGGTAGCTCGATTAAGGATTACCATATCATTAATAGTATCCATGACTTTTGTTCAAAGGCTACTTGTGTAATGTTGCCTTGTGGATGAAGCTGCTTAATCCTGTGAGCCGCAGCTGTAGAGAGGGGCTTCTTCAGAGCCGCCCACACTGACTTCCCTGTCCCCCTAAATCGATTCAAGAAAAAAAAACAGACAGAAACAACAATCAACTCAAACAGAGCAAAAAGAAACAAACCATTCTACATTTCCACATTCATCCACAAACCCCGATCCCTGCCAATGTTTTCCATTCATCCCATCTCTAACATCCACGTCGTTACTCGGATGGTGGCCGGCTTAACACTGGCCAAAGATTGGGGGGTTTCTGTTTCTTTCTTTCCTTCTTTCTTTCTTTTTCTCTCTCTCTGTGTCTGTCGTTTTCTCTCTCTGTGTCTGTCTGTCTGTCTGTCTGTCTGTCTGTCTGTCTGTCTGTCTGTCTGTCTGTCTGTCTGTCTGTCTGTCTGTCTGTCTGTCTGTCTGTCTGTCTGTCTCTCTCTCTCTCTGTCTGTCTGTCTCTCTATCTCTCCCTCTCTTCAGTTTTCTCTGTGTGTGACATTGAAATTTTCGACGTGTGACTACCAGCCTCGGTGAATCACGCTGAGTTGTTTTATTCCCTTCTTCCCCGAGGTCGTGTCTTACACGGAGTCCCCACTGAGGCTGGGAGCTTTGGGTCAGCAATCCTTAGACAGAAACATGGGCTGAGATTTTCCACCCTTTATTATTTCTTCACTCTCTCCAAGAAAGGGATTCACGGCTATCGATCCTTCCATCAACACTTAACTTTCACATATCTCCATCCCAGTTATCAAATAGCCACTTCTTTCCACCCTCTTGTTATCCCACACCTCCACCTTGCAGTCTATTCCACCAAATCCAACGTTTTAGTTACCAGAAAGAGACAGATATGAATTTCATCATCTCATATGAATGCAAATAGCACCGTCTGAACAATGAATTATTTAGACTGTCTGATGTTTTATTTCACCAACAACAAATGCAGTTGTCTTAGAACAACCCAGACAGTGAGAGAGAGAGAGAAAACAAAGTACAGTACTTGAGGGGAGAATTGTTAACAAACAAAGTCTGTGCGTCACTTTTTATTTCAAATCGGATTTGTTTCAGTCAATCGTAAATTGAAAGGAAACTTGGAAATGAGAAGTTTTTTTTTTGCAAACTTGAAAGTAGCGTTGGACTTTGCTGTTGCAGTTGGTTACAAAAGGCTGTCTCTATTTGAACTAATCACGGATTATTCATATGTTGCTATTATCACTCATTCATTTGCTAACTTGTCACATCTCAAACACAGTCTCCTTATTTTCGTCGCTGAATACTAAACACCAGTAACGGCACTCGTGTCTCCTTCTTATCCCTCAAAGTGGTTATAACATAACCGATTTCTTTCACCCGTGTGGTTTCTCTTGCGTTGGAGCCTAATCTTGATCTTCCCTTAGACGGGAATGGAGTAAATGGACCCAAAATTCCAGCTTTCCTCCCTCCCCCTCCCTCCCCCCCACACCCTCTCCCTCCCCCTAAAACGTGGCTGTCTTTCTGACAGCTCTCGGAGACACCTGCATCTTTTTTTTTTGAGAAAAAAAAATCTGGCTTTGCAATGGAGACCGAGGTAACAATCGCAAATAAATACATAAAATTAATAAATTAACGGTGAATAAATAATTTGACTGCTGGCCACCGTGTGCCCCGCACAATCGTGGCAGTGTGTCGGGGGAGCGGTCTGGCCATTCATAATTATTTCGATGAAGTCCTCAGTGACTTGCTGAGTGGGTGTCGGGCTAATTTTCCTATGGTTTTCGCCTGATTAATTCTGTCTGACCCCGGGGTCGCCCGTCCCCAGTAACCGCGTCTCTCCCGGAGACCTTCCAATGGTCCCTTTCCCCCCGTTCAAGTAGATGGGAAGTGCCTGTCACTACCCGGACACAAAAGCTTCCACGTTTGCAGCTCACGACTTTCCAAGGCAGACCCCCCCCGCTCAGCCAAGCGCAAGAAAAACTCATTTAGTGATGCCTTTTGGTTTTTTTTTCGATTGGTAGCAACGTGTAGGGTGGACCGATGTCAAGTTTGTCAGGTGCGGGACGGGTTTGGCTGCCACTCCTTTTCAGCCTTGGTGTGGTGACTCTATCACTCTATCAGTAACGGGGCTGCCCCTCGCCTTGTGCCTCGCCTTTCTGATAACCTCTGTGCGCGGAACTCTTTCAACGTAATGTTAGTGAAAGCGTTCCCGACAGCCTTTAACACGCATTGACATTGCACGTCTTTACGAAGGCACTTGGGCTTTAACATCAACGCTGCTTTTTTTTACTAGAATTGGCTGGAAGGTGTGTCGGGGTAGACTACCCAAGCAAATTGCATCAGAGTTCCCCCCTCCAAAAAAAATGTCAAGGACAGTGTTGCTCTCTGTTGTTGAAGGAGGTTCTGGGGATCTATTTGACTGAAGACCACGGCAGATGGTTAAAAGGAAAACTCGAAAAAGTGTTGGGAAATATTGAACGGAATAAAACATCAATGAAGGTTAAGAAGGATGGTCAATTCGTGCCCATTTCGTTTCTGGGGTTGTCGATGCATTTAACCTGTTTTACGGTTCAAGAAATGCACCACATTCCCTGTCAACTTGCAGATTTATTTATCGATGTGGAGGACTCAGGAGAATCGAAGTCATTTACAGAATGGTTACAGTCCAATATAATTTGAAGAAAAACTCGTTTATAACACGGAAAGTCTGCCTGGAATTACTCTCACTTAGGCATTAAGGCTCGACATCTCCACGGAGACACGCCATCGATAACATGAAAACCATTCAAATCAGATCTCGGATGTTAAAGCGCAATATTTGGTGTAGAACAGATACATCGTCCCAGAACCATGTTGTGATATTGCCCCCCCACCCCCACCCCCCTTCTATAGCTGTCATGTTAATTTCAGTATCACCACAGGTGGGATGGACATTGAAGAGGTTGATCATGATCCTGTAAATAGGCTCAGACAATCAGAATATCAGAGAGGTAATGGCTGCGTAAATTACTACATTTCCAATCAGACCTCTGGAGGCCATCTCTTTGGCTACAATGACTTACTGAATGTAAACTCTCAGTCCTGCCCGTTTTGTGTCAGGTCTCGTCAATCCACATGGATATTGCAACGTTTCTTCGGGGAGTACACCTACACTATTAGTTCTAATCGTTAATCGATTTCTACCTCTTCGCTCCTTATTTTATGCATTTATCTGCGATCAGCATTCCTATTTTATCATATATCAATCGGATGGATACAAGTCCTTAAATGTTATATTCTGTATGTAGCCTCCACAGCCCAACTGCAACCTGCACCGACATCTACTTACAAACTAATACATCAATGGCCATGTCAAGTTCCATGTTTTTGTCTGTTTTTGTATCTCAATCACATCCCAAATCTCGTAGATTTGTTTTACTTTCCAAAATTGCACATTAATTTGTACGTGAATATCCTCGGTTATGTCTAAATATGTTCTATCCTCTTGTAAAAACAATTCAGCAATTGCGCTACAGTAATCGTCCTGGTCGACGTCAAAGGGGAAAACCACAAGATTGGTATATTAATATCGATCGATCGTTGATTTAGGAATATTAATTTCTGAACTTTGATGATTCAGATATAAATTATTTTTATTTTACTGCATGTCAGTGAAGGCAAGGGAGCAAACGCAACCGGGTGGTGATTTTATTTCTGAATAAGGAAGTTATCCCACTGAGATCTCTAATGATCCTTACGTTTGACATACCGTCGCCCCTTTCGTGTCGAGAGCACATCCCAAAGCGCTCCACGGGATGTGCTGTTAAGTGTAATGATTGTGTATCTGTGGGTTGAAGGCTGTGTTCCCCTGTAAAATAATGACTTGCTTCCTTGTGTTACAGGAAGGGAGTTTCTAGCCTTTTTGAGGATAAGTCAACAATCCTCTCAAGGCGACACGTCCTACACCAGAAACAGTCCTCAGCCCAGTTTGATGAGGACAGTAAATACAGTAGAAGCCCAGGACAGGTACACTGTGTTTGGCGGCTGTAATGCAACACTATCTCACTGGCTGACGAATTTATGTTGTGCGGCGTTGGGAGAAGCAAATTCTTCTTATTATTTCTTAATCATTTATCTTCGATTTGCGTCTTTAATTTGCTGTTTGACGGGCTAGTTTTTAAAAAAAATTTAAAGGTTGCATTTGGACTCCTAATTCTGTGGCTGTTTAAACATTCGTGCAATGACTGAAAGCTATTGATCCACAATGTTCTGAGAGTTACGGCTTGATGGATGCTGTGTAAGGTCATTTACAATACAACCGCGTCAACATATGCAGCAGCCGTCAATTTCACAACGTTCACGATAGAAAGCAAAAAGCTTTTGTTGCTAACATTACACTTCCTTGAGCTGTTGTATGTTTCAGGAGCATTCGAGATAATGTCCATGTTGTGAACGTGGTGTAAAACACGTGTGGCCATGCGCCCTTCTGCTTTCTGTGCAGCTCTTCCGGATTATTAAAACCCTGTTAGATAACCAATACCAAGAGGTTGAGAAAGGATTTGAAGAATTGGATGAAATTAATTCTCGGCGCCTCAACCACGAAACCATGTACCAGCTTCTGAAACGGTAAATCTCTGCTTTGACTGTGACAGGGATGTGGTGTGAGGGAGAGCAAGCCTGGAGAGAAACATTAGACTATGGTAACACTCAACCTGTGGCTAACCCTGAACTACATGTGCAGTTTTTGGGTTCTCTATGTCAATGATCCTGTCTTTTGTGAAGTGCTAACTCGTTTTCCTCTACCAGCTGTCACGTTTGGCCAGAAATAACTCGCGGTGAGATCCGCAGACTGTGGGAAACACTGATCACGAATCAGGATAAAACCTTGGATTTCCTCGAGTTCGTGAGGCATTTCGGCTTCTCTCCTAAATCTGCGTGTTATCCCAATGCCAAGACCAGTCCACCCAGGAAAGGCGACAGCGACTTGAGAATGTGCTCGAAAAACCTCAACTGTGCGTCCGATATAATCGTGGACAGCGTCCGTGCAAAAGTGAGGGTCATCCTGATTTACAACTTGGTTAGACTTCTCAGCTGCGCCCTACTCGGTTCTATAAAAAAAACAAAAAACAATAATAAATTGGTCATTTTCAATCTACGACTGTTTGTGGGATATTGTTGTGCGCAATTGGCTGCCGCGTTCGCCCACAGATATACAGTCAATTCACTTTACAGTGTGTTCTGTGAAGCGCTTTGGGACGTCCTCCCGACGTGAAAAGCGCTATATCAAATGCAAGGATTATTATTATTATTATTATATTGCGGGTGTGCTCAGCTAATTTGACATTGTTGATTTGACTTTTACAACTTCCAGGTTGACTACTTGTGGGACGATCTTAGGAAAGAGTTTCAGGAGCTTGACCCCTACCACACGGGCTTTGTCAGCAAAGAAGAGTTTAAAGATATTTTGACAGAGCTCTGTGTGCAGTTAAATGAATACGAGTGTGAAGTACTGGCAAAGAAATTCGAAATCAATGGAGATGGTCGGTAAGGTCAAATGCTTCACTTTTCTCTGGTAACTGAATTGGGTCGTGTAGTTCTGGGGAGAGAAAAACACAGGCACTGGAATGCTTAGTCTTCTGCATGGATTTTTTTTAGTTACCCAGGAAATTAAACATTGCATTGAAAATTCTGACAAGGTTAAGTAAGGCCTCACTGCTGCAGAGTGACAGTGATGTCAACATGTAACACATGACCAACACTGAGATTCAAGCGTTGGGAATAGAAGGCGAACTGCAACCCACAGAAGCTTACTTGGGAACAGGCTTGGGAACATTAATAATAATAATAATAATAATCCTTGCATTTGATATAGCGCTTTTCACGTCATTGACTGCACTGCACAGAAACTCACCTGCAGGAGTGCAGTGGGATGTGAACAGGAGTTTTTTTCAAAACCAAAATGTATGATTTATTTATTTACTCCACATTTATTCCAGTTTACCAGACATTTCCAGGTATAATATGCCAGTCTTTAGGCAGCGCCCCCTTCTGGAATTAGTAAGAGTATACCTGCTGGATAGCAACCAGGAGAAATTGCAAATTGTCTTTTGAATTGTGTAAGATTTCTTGACATTATTATTTTTTCAGATCTGATTTAACAATAATAATCCTTGCATTTGATATAGTGCTTTACTGCATCATTGGGATGTCCCAAAGTGCAGAAGCAGAATATATTGTAAAGTGAATTGACTGTGTATTTTGTTATTTCTAGTACCTTGGGACATCTTCCCGACATGAAAGGCGCTATACAAATGTAATTTATTGTTGTTGTTATTTTAATTAAGGCATAAGGTAATACGCATAATGGTGTAGGTGCGGATTTCTGGAGAAATATTCTTTATACACTGAAAACAACTCATTTTTGAGAGATATTCTGAATATATCTTAATATAATAATAATAATAATAATCCTTGCATTTGATATAGCGCTTTTCACGTCGGGAGGACGTCCCAAAGCGCTTCACAGAACACACTGTAAAGTGAATTGACTGTATATTTGTGGGCGAACGCGGCAGCCAATTGCGCACAGCAATGTCCCACAAACAGTCGTAGATTGAAAATGACCAATTTTATTGTTTTTTTTNGTTTTGGAGGGATTATTATTAGGCGTGTGGAGTAAGGAAACTTTCCCAAGGTTTCGCCCTGACCTGCCTGGAATTGAACTCAGGTCTCTCACTTGCAAAGCGAGTGCTCTAACCACTGAGCTACAGGACTCCACTAATATACCTTAATGGATAGATATTTGTGAGGTCAGGGTATTAATGGTTACAGGGTAAGGTTGGGTAATTGGACTTGAAGTACAAATCTTTTAGAATGGTGGAACATGCTCAAGGTGGCTGAATGGCCTACTCCTGTTTCTGTGTTTCTATGTTTCTCTGTAATCATCTTATGGTTTAACAGAAAGAGGATGTTTCACTTGGGGTTCCTGACAGGGCTCTTAAAAGTCTCGGAAATGAAAATATTTCCAAATTGTCATCTTTCTCTAAATCTTTGCCAATGGAACTCAGGTTTGCTGTTTCTGTTTCACACCACCTGATTCCACCTGCTTTGAAATCATGCACAGTATTATTGTTACATTTGGTACATTGGATTATCTGCTGTTATTCCTTTATTCTTCTAAATAATTTATATTCTGTAAGCATTGTCTTTGTTTAAAGATAAGTATGGGTGGTAATATTTAAGTACATTTGGATATATTTGGATCTCAGGAATCCTGAGATACCTCAGGAAACTTGATTCAAGATAAACACTAAATACGAAGGTCTGGCAGACTACTGTGGTAATTATGACATTGTTTGTCCGGTCTATGATACTCATTACAGTTCTCCCAAACACTAACCCTTCCCATTAGGTATTTCTAAATGCTTTAGTCTTCTCCTTGAATAATGATTCAACTAATTATATCCTTTACGCCAACTTCAAATTAAAATCTCAGAAATTATTTGAATGCAAGTGCCACAAAAAAGTTTTTTTTGAACCAGGAGGGAATCACACTGCACAGAAGGGTATGTAATAATAATAATAATAATATTTGGGATAGCACTTTTCACTTTGGGGGATGACTCAACGTGTTTTACAGGATGTACTATAAAGTAGGTTTTGTGACAAACATGACAGTTGAAATATATACAGTATATATGATCATAGTTATATATAATATATAGTGGGGCAAAAGAACAAATAATCTACAATTGGTATAAAAAAGGACAGTGAAATTATTTCAAATTCAATACTTCGAAAAATGATTTATTAAAAAGAAAATTAATCCCAATCCTCAAAAGGATCTTGAATTACAATGGAAGCTCAATTACCACTTTTACTGCTGTTAGTTTGTTCAGTGGCGCAGCACAAGACTGCTTTCCCCTTAGACTCCGCGCTTTTAATTAACAAAGTGACTGAACTCAGTTGATGGATCCGTGCACATGCGCTTTTTTACTTCCAATGTCTCACCCCATCCTACCCCTGCAAAGTCCTGTGGCCATACCATCTGAGACTCCTCCTCCCCTCACATGCAAACACTGGCCTGCTTCCCTTCCCCCACCTGTGGGTGAGGTTTTAATCATTCTTTCCCATTCTCTGGAACTTTATACTGTAGTCCTTTGGCCTTGTGATCTTCCTCCTGACCTTCAAAATCAGCTTTAAAATTTATCTCTTCAACCGAGTTTTACGCACTATCCCCCACGCCCCTCAGGTCTTCCTCAGCTCTAACTCCCAGGCATTTCCGTGAAACCCTCTAAGATGCCATACTAAACTGAAAGGCACTACAGTATACAACTGTAAATTGATATTGTTTGAAGTTGTGCTGAAGATTGAAGGTGAGGAATATTGAGATCTTTGTGAGCTAGGACCCCAAACTGATTATCACAAACAAATGCAAAACAAAATAATCTCCAGCGTTATAAATTACAATTGTAAGGAAAGTAGGACCGTTGTTCTCTCTAATAAGGTGCAGTTTAATCAGTACAATCTCATTATCATGGAGGTTGCTTGAAATTGAATATTGTTGTCAAAATTCCAGTGAATTACAGTAATAATTAATTACATTATTTATTTGGGGTTTAAATACAGTATTTAAATACTGATATAAACTTTATGAAAATAACTTTATATCAAATGTAAAGTATGGACAATATGTTTAGTATGAAAAAGTTCTACTTAGTGTGATTTTTTGTTTCTTAATTTCGTTGTCAGGGTTTCTTATATTGAGTTCTTGAAGCCATTTGCAATGCGCAGACAATTATGGCGAGAGGGGAGCAACATGCTAGCGGTGATGCAACATCCTCAGGCAGAGTTGACCATACAACAGCCTGGATGTCAGAAGACAGGACTGCACACTGTGACAGCAAGGCTCCGACGCCAGGTAACCTGGAGCAGAGGCAGAGTTGCCTTCATGATAACAACTGCATCAGATAATTACATTTTTCATACATGACCAAATCAAATTGCACATTTAATTCAAAAAGATTGGGGATGGTGGAGGGCAGGAGAGGGGAAGCAGGGTGAAGGAGGAAGATCTTGAGACTGGTCTTGAAGGAGGCAAGGGAGGGGGCGGGCAGAGAGACTCCGGGATGGAGTTCCAGAGGGTGGGGGCAGAGGCAGAAGTCCCACCCGCTAATGGTGAGGTGGGTGACGTGAAGCAGGCTGGAGCCCACTGAGCAGAGGGAGTGGGCAGAATGGTAGGGGTGTTTAGGTGGTCGCAGAGGTAGGGGGCAGCAAAGTATGGAGGGCTTTGAAGGTGAGGACCAGTATCTAGAACTGTATTCTATGTGTGATAAGGAGTCGGGCAAGGATAGGATGCCTGGTGCAGAAGAAGACACGGGCTGCAGAGTTCTGGATGATCTGTAGTCTATGGAGGAAGGAGTTGGGAGGCCGATAAGCACGGAGTTTGCATAGTCAAGTCTGGATGTTATGAATGTGTGTATGAGGGTTTCGGCAGCCTGCAATGTGAGACAGTGGCGGAACTCGGCAATGTTGTGGAGGTGGGGGAAGGCAGAATGCATCATAAATTAAAAAAAGATTGCCAAACTTCATTTGGGATGGGGGAAACAGATGAAAAGAAAAACAAGAATAAAACACATTTGTAAACACATTTAAAAAAAGAAACAAAGAACAAGTATGTATTTTAAAATGTTCTTTGGGGATTTTTTTTTCATTTGGCACTGTCTCTCATTACTTTCTCAGGAGCAAGGACTGAAGTTTTGCAACCGTTTTACGCATACAAGTAACTGTATGCACTTCTTCACGCTTATGGTATGCATAAAACGATTGCAAAACTCAGCCCTTGCTCCTGAGAAAGTAATGAGAGACAGTGCAATTTGGTCATAATGTCTTCGTCTCCTAAAGTTGAAGGAATAATGATTCCTCCTTAGTGTGTACTTGACAAGACATCATTGTCCATCTTCCCAGAGTGCCGAGGTCCCATTGGTAAGGAAATAGGTGCAGAGAGTGCAAAGGATAGGGGCCAGGGATTCAGTTAGCAGAGCATGAACTCGCAGTGGGGTGTGATCAGAGGACCTCAGCAATGTCAAGTCATTGGGTTACAGTGCGCAATAGACAATGGTTGTGGAGTAGTGCAGAGTTGGTGGGTAGCACATGTGATTGAGGCCTGGCATGTCCTGGAATGTTATTGCAACTTAGTCTGATGTCTATAGGAATGTCTATTGGGCACGACCAATGCAGTGCTAAAGTGCGTGTAGCTATCCAATGGTTTTACCTTGAATCAAACTTCAGTTTTCCCTTATGTCCTACAGCTGAAGGGTGAGTGGAAACCGTTACGCAGAGCCTTTAAGAAGTTAGACAGTAAAAGTAGTGGCTACTTGTCCCTGCCGGAGTTCCGAGCCGTTCTCAAACTGTGCAATTTCCTTCTGAATGAGGAAGAAGTTTACCAGATAATGTCGAAATTCGATGAAAACCTAGAAGGCAAAATCGACTACAGAAAATTCCTGGAAGAGACCTACAAAAAGAAACAAATCAAACAGAAAGCCAACCAGCCCTTACCAGAATTAATCAATTTGTCTCACGTGGTTGGAAAACCACATGAACAACTAATGTAGTCAACACGCCACTGAATAAAAGCAATAACACCAAGTTATTGGAGTCCTGTAGCTCAGTGGTTAGAGCACTCGCTTTGCAAGCGAGAGACCTGAGTTCAGTTCCAGGCAGGGCGAAACCTGGGGCAAGTTTCCTTACTCCACACGCCTAATAATAATCCCTCCAAAACCAAAACAATAATAAATTGGTCGTTTTCAATCTACGACTGTTTGTGGGACATTGCTGTGCGCAATTGGCTGCCGCGTTCGCCCACAAATATACAGTCAATTCACTTTACAGTGTGTTCTGTGAAGCGCTTTGGGACGTCCTCCCGACATGAAAAGCGCTATATCAAATGCAAGGATTATTATTATTATTATTAAGTTAACAATGTTTCCATTGAAGTTTCCTTTATATCAATTTTCTTAAATGTACATAGTTAAAAGTACTATACCTGTGACTTCCCCTTTCATATCTGCTTAATACTGAATGTGCAAAGATAAGTCCATTCACTCTGAAAATGCATACTTGGTTAATAGGCATTTTTTCAGTCAAGTATACAGTCAAATTTCCCAATAAATGTCTCCAAATGCTTTAGGAAACTGGAGAAAGTATTGTGTTTTGGCACAGAATACCAGGTGCTTTTCCAAGGTGTTCATAGCCCTAGCGCTCTAACAGTCAAAGATCAGGGCATCTACTGTGGGAACATTTGCACAATAGCAGATCACAATAAGATAAATAGAAATAAAAAAGCACCTGAATCTTGAAATTGATGTGAAAACTCTTCGTTTGTCACTTTTATTAAATTTAGGAATAATAATTATAAAATATTGACCAATTAGACTTTTTGAAATAGTTTCTGTCCATAATGTTATTTCGTTAACCTGTAAGTGCATTAAATGTAGTGGCAATGCATAGACGGAAGATTCTCATGTTTTCCAATATAAAGTGATCTGAGTTAACCGATCCATGCCACTACATCAGTAAGTTACAGCCTATCAAATATAACGTGTGTCTATTTGATCATGTTTTCAGGAGTTTATTGATATAGTGATGTTTAGTTGTATGAAAGTTCTTGTAGTACTTCCTGCTTGCAACGTTTTAGGTTTCCAATAAAGATACATTGATAGAATTCTATGG